ATGACCACTTGACATTTTTATTGAGAAAGCAAGAAAGATGTACCGTCACTTTGGCGTAGTTGCGCGAGTACTTGTGCAAGTACGCCGCTAGCCCAAGAGACTTCCTTAGTTTCTTGACATTGACTGGCACTGGCCAGTCAGGGATCGCCTTGATCTAATCGGGATCAGGGCGTACCTTGTGTTTACCCACGATGCACCTAAGAAGTGGTATTTCGCTAGCCGCGAATATGCACTTCTTGAGGTTGACGTACAACTTGTGCTTGCGCATAAGTTGAAGAACCTGACGAACGTGAATTATATGAACATCAACGTCCGTCTTTCCGTCCATAGCCCGACTATGGACGAGCACATCGTCGAAGTAACTGGGTGCGAAATCACGCACCGGTCTCAACAGATTTGTAACACATCTGTTGAATGTTGCAGGGGCATTGCTCAGACCCTGTGGCATCACTAGCCACCTCCACAGCATACCGCTGGGGGTGCTCACTGCTGTGTACGGGATGTCCCGTTCACGCATGAGGATCTGATAGAACCCATCCATCAGATCCATGGATGAAAAGATGGTACTCTTTGACATACCATCTATGATTACGTCCTTCCTCGGTATCGGCGTCTGAGCCGGTACCGTTGCAGCATTCAATTTGTTGAATGCGTGCACTATCCGCCATCCTCCTGTGGCCTTTCGCACACAGAAGGTCGGAGAGCTGTGAGGGGATGTCGATTCCCTCACATGGCCCGCTGCTAAGCGATCGGCAAAGAACTTGTCGATCGCTAGTACTTGTTCACGAGGCAGTGGCCACTGCTTCATGACACAGTACTTCGAGCCCGTTTTGAGCTCGATCTCGTGTCGAGTGCCTTTTTCCTTAGGCAACTCGCAAGGTACGGATTCAGGGAACACATCCCTGAATTCGATCAAATCCTTGTACAAAGGATTTGCCTGAAGTGACTCCCAGGATTGAGACGCGTATCGCTCAATCCGAGTCTTCTCATCGAGGACACTTTCGTCCATCGATGAGCTGCTGAGAACCAGTTCGTTCTCAGCAAATACTGTTGCCGACCGAATGTCGGTCACATACTCGTCCTCTGTGACGAGTATGCATATCTGCTTGACTTTGCCACTACGCAGATCACGCAAGAACCGTTTCGGTTCTAGCGTTGGCAACTGAGTTATCTCCGAAGTTAACTTTGGAGGCACAATCAGATCAAGCGTATAAGCGCCTACGCTTGATCCGTCATTAACCAAGACGTTCAACGTCTCGGTTTCTTCCTGGGAACTTGCTTGCACAGGTTGCTGAGGGCCTGATCCTTCAGCAAGTGACTCTTGAGGAATTTCTTCCTCAAGTACGTGGGGACTTACTCCCTCGACGTCTTCTGACTGTGGCTGTGCAACCACGGTCAGGCACCGATCCTCTACGGTCGACCCTCCAGTCGCACTAGGATGTCCATGTTGCCCTTTAAAGGCAACAGGTTTATTACTTCCAAGATGCTGCCCGCTAGGCATGCATCCATGTCCCGGTCCACTCGACTTATTCGAGTGGTAGACCTTCGGCGCCGCCTGTACTTCTGTACAGCCGCCGGGAGCTTGCTCCACAGTGTAGTGATCAACTACACTGTGACCTTGTGCAGTCGTGCTAACGACCGTACCGCAAGTGAGGCCATCGCACTCACTCGCAGTACATCCACACGCTTGTGGACGCTCCAAGATGTTCATCAGATGGCCATCTGATGAACAAGCGGCAGGCATCTTCACGGATCGATGCTTCCAGCTCACTCTTGGCTCGTACTTTCTGAGTCAAGGTAATCCCAGGATGTCATCAAATTTGTCGTCCAGATCCAGTACGATGAAGTCATCATCGTACTGTTGCCCTCTAACGTGTAGTGGATTCCTACTACACGTATCCAACGGTTATCGATGCGCCTGTTGCAAGGCGCACCGTCATCCTCGTGAGGGGAATGTTGCGCTCAACGAACTTGAGCCTACGAACCTCTAATGACTGGCGACGAACAAAGTTGTTCGACACCCCACAGTCTACTAGGGCACGAAGCGACAAATCATTTGTCGCTTCCAACTTCAAGGTGATGAGCGAAACGTCATCACCAGGTGCAGAGACACACAATGATTGTGTATCTGGAGCAACTTTCGTCAAGAGGTTTGCAAATTCTCTTGAGGTTGCTGGATCAGTAGGGCGCTCCGCCCCTACTGACCCCGTCCATTTTTTGATGGTCCGTTTCGCTGTTGCGGCTTCGCAACAGCGCTGGACCCACGCCCATTGGCCTTCTTGGCAAATGGACGACCATTTCGCTCAGTACTGTTTGGTACTGGGCGTGTAGCACTACACTCGTATGCGTAGTGCCCTAACTTCTGACAGCGACTGCACCTCTGCAATCGCTTGTCGTTTGAAGAGCGAGGTCTCTCGCTCTCAACATAACAGAGGTCCATTGGTTCTGGACCTCCGGTCTCTTGTCGTCTAGGTGGACGATAAGAGTTTGAGCTGGCATTAGCCTGTCTCATGCTAGAGTCTTCCTGTTCCGCGACAGATATCGCATCTTTTAAAGTATTCAGCTCAAGGCGAAACAGATGGCTCCTGACGGGCCCTTCTGCGAGCCCTTGCATGAACACCGTAATCAACGTGTGTTCATGAACTGGTTTAGCAGTTATACTACTCGCAAGGAGTCGTATATGTTGGGCGTAAGCGTGAACATCACGCTTACCCTGCTTGAGTTTCAGTAGCTCTGAACGAGCTCTGAACTCAGCGCGTGGCGGCTCAAACGTTTGTCTGAGCCGGGACTTGAAATCATCTAGCGACCTAAACACATTTGGGTCGCTACTCTCGAGCTCTAAGGCCCAATTTTTGGCACGTCCTGCCAAGTGGGTCTGAGCAAATGTGAGTTTCATTTCCTCATCGTCGACACGACGTGCCTTCAAGGCTCTGTCGAGTTCGACAAACCACAATAACAGGGAGTCCTCCGGGACTCCACTGTACTTTGAGATGTCAACCTTCATGACCTCGGGACGACGTGAATGTGTCGTCCCGCCCACAGCAGCATGGAATTGCTGCTGTCTCAACAGCTCTGTCTGTTGAGCACCGAGTTCTCTCAACTACTCGGCCTGTTGAGAGCCTTGCTGGTGAAGCAAGGCTACTTTATCCCTCTCGATGACAAGTTCATTTTGAATGAACTTGGCTATAGCGGCATGTTGTTGGTCTCTGTTGAGAGACTCCAACATGGCGCTAATGGCGAGCTGTCCTACGGTAGAGCTCATGCGTTCTACCGCACTCCATTCGATGTCACTAAAATGGTAAAACCTTCACGCGTGGCGTGAAAGGTCTCTTCATTATCCAACATGTTCATGGTGGATGATGTGGAGGTGGTCGCTGGGAGGACTACAAAGTGCTACCAGGTGTAACGGGGCACACCCTTGCGTGAACTTACTGCAAGCTATCGTGCACCGACAAGCGTACACGAAGCGACCGAGGAAGCGGTAGATAAGACAGAGGCAACACTGTCTTAGGGAAATGTAGAACTGTTATATTAATATAATCAAGTCTTTAACCACTGTCTCTCTGTTTGACTTGACTTAATTATACTAATCTAACTGAATTTATGACGACGTCTACTCACCACTCATTGCGCGCGTCTTGCGGCGATTGGTGGGTTGATATCGTCAAGATATCAACCAATGAGCAGACTCTTTGGTCGACCCATCAAGATCACCACTATTGGTGATATTGTTAAAAGAATATTCAACATAATTTAATTTATGTCATTATCTTCTAAATGACAATTTCTATGTAACGGGCTGCCCCGTTACAACTGACCTCGTCATTCGGTGCATTGCTCCTACCGTCAGGTGCCCCGTCCCGCAAGAGACAAGCATCCTCAATTCCATTTCATCATATCCAGTGTTTCGTTTGCCATATACCTTGACCTGAGTTCACGCTCTATACCAGTAACATCCGATCCCAGATCGAGATCGTTCCACTTGATCATCCATCGATCTTGGGGGAAATAAACCAGCTGAACTTTCCGGTGATGTCTTGTCAGGAATTGGACTCTATTCCACTTTGAGATGATAGAATCGGCAACGCTAATTCCCTGAGTGACTTTGCCACAGGACCATGTTTGCTGGCTAAGATACTGCCAGAGTCCAAGGCATCAAGAAACCATCGGTGTCCAGGAACGTTTTTCGTTTTGTACATTTGGATCTGCAAGCGACAGAATAGACGGAAGATGAGCAAACCTCGTGCTAACGTCGTGCGGGAGCAAGGGGCGGCTGCAGATTGGGTACTGATAGATAAGCAATAGATAACGCTGGTAGTAGATTCACTCTTCGAACACGCATACTTGAATACTTCTTTAGACTTGATTACCATTATTTTCTTACAGACTGTACGATACATACGTACACTTATAGTGTCGGCCGCCTTCTGCAGCGACCGCTGTATTTTAACTTTGCGTATTGTTTGTGCGACAAAAGAATAATGCGTTCATATGATGTGCTACGTCAATGTTTTGTGCTACGGACAATAAAAGTCTACCTCCAAAATTACACTTGTCCAGATGACATCCGTCCTGTATTCGGTATATTTGCCAAACTCGAGGTCGATCTAGTATCAGGTGTCTTTCTATAGGGCTCATGGGTCTTTCTGTCCAAGTTTGCAAACATTACATTTTAACAAACGATTTGCATTGAGCAATACTCGGCCCAAAATGACTAAAAGCCAACCTCAAATTAAAGCGCCACGATTCCTTCTTCGCGATAGCCGCAGTGCGGAAAGGTCGAAGTAGGCCTTGTGAGCAGGATCGCCGTTTTTGCACAGGCAGTATAGCTACGGCTTCTTTGCTGCAGCCCACACAGAGTGAGTGGTTCATCGGCACGACCGAGAAAGCTCTTTCCCCGTTCACGTTGGCTGCCGTGCGCCATGGGGTAAGGTGCCCCTCAATGCAAAACATTGCACATAGACGCCCTCCAATACAGTAGAACGCAATTCATTAATCGTTTACCGCACACACGCCTTGCCCATCACCGCACACTTCTGCTTATTGCTTTGGCAAACCAGGTCTTTCACACACGTGTGCCAGCAGATCGTTGCATGAGAAGCAGGATCAGGAGTACATGTGCAACTCTCTGCACAAACCTCCGCTTTAAAATGTTCGCTGTTGCAGACAACGGCACAACCTGGTTGGGGCTCATTGACGCCTTGTCTCGGCTTGCATGACTTGTAGTTGCATACGCCTCCATCCACAGACGCGACCAGGCGGCGACCCGGAGAGCAGCCCACCACGGGATGGTCGGACTGGTGCCCGCTTTGCACGTACTGCGCAGTCACATTCGCGTGCATGTCAAAGTCCATCGATGCCTTCAGCATGCGATGATACGACGGTAACAACGTCATCTTGCCAAACCACGCGCGTAGCACTCGCTGCGTCGACGTCGATTCGACCTCAGGCATGCGCACGGCGTGCATCACAGCTGGGAGCTGGTGCGACGCTTGAACCCACAGGTTGTAGCCCGTGCCCAGCATGAGCGTCACCTGGTCTGGCTTCAGCACGGGCCGCACGCGCTGCCCGTCGTGCGTCTGGATGATCAGACCCGACTCGGAGTCGTCCTCGCCACTGGCCGACACGGTCTCGAACGTCCGTCTCGTGCCGTTGTTGCTCACCTTGTAGAAAGCAGGAGTCGCGAACACGATGAACATACCGTTGTCTTCATGCAGCTCGACCGTGTAGTCGTCGTCCTTGGACGAAGAGGTGGCGGAAGTCGTGCTCAGACGTCTTCTCTCACTTTGCGATGTCGCTTGATAGGCGTGGAAGTGGTCGAGACGGACGGCGTCTGTCACGAGTTTGCGGGTCGAGATGGTTTGGCCGTACCCGTCTTTCGTGGTGAAGTCGGTGGCGTCCAGCGTTGTCGCGACGTGAAGTACCACCAGCTCGAGCAGCGACGAAAACGCATTGTAGACGTGCTGGTACCCTGGACACACCGCATCGGTCCTGGTAGATGCGGTATTGGCATCTTGACCAGACGCCGTGCTGATGGTGTAGCGCTTCGTGCCATCTTTCAGCGTGTTGTGCAGCAGGAACTCGGCGTTGACCTCTTCAGCGGACACGGCGCACGCGGCGGCCACTTCGAGGTAGGAGCGGCGCACTTGGGCGTAGGACGGGACATTGTCGATACTGATGATGCCGTCCTTCTTGAGGGCGTCGAGGACGTCGTGGGGTGTGTTTCCTAGTGGAAGAGTTTCGTAGTCAAACGTCGGGACGTCAAATGCCGGGACTCGGTCGGCGAGATTTACGGGCATGGCACTGGCCATTAGCAGGACGCCCAAGGTAAGAACCGGGACCATCGTGTAGGTGGGGGGGGCAACGGCACTGGGGCACCCCTGGAGAATGTAAAAATGAGGAGGTGATAGATCGCCGCAGATTCTAATGGACGACTGACTACTGCTTTGTGTCAGTAAGAAGAGCGTGAGTGGATGTTCACCGCACTGTTTGTTGAGACAGAAGAGAACGAGCGAGGTGTACCCATCACCGAATGGGTGGACGAGGGAGGGTCGAGCTGGCGGGGTCATGGTCGATGAGTGACGGCACGCGTCATGATTCGTCTTGACTGCTTCAAGTCCTCCCTCGTATCCTTGCTTTGTCCCGTCGTATAGTGGTCGTCAAGATCAGGTGTTGCGGTACGCAAGAAAATGGTCTGTATCAGCATCAGATGTGTGTATCTGTGCCGCTCGTGCACAAGTGCAAGTCTGACGAGCAGGATACACCTGAGCATTCGAGCGTCGGACTGTTCACATTTGACGTGCAGTCGTAGATGTGAGCTTTGCGTCGCCGGCGCGTGAAGCCGGATTTGTGTATGGGGCCGTAGCTCATATCCGCTTGCTAGAAAAAACACGTTTCAAAGATGCCACACGCATTGAAACAGGCTGCCTCAAATCCGTCAGTTTCTCCTGCTTCGGATTGAACAACTATCCGGATGTTTCTCGGTCTGAGAAGAGCAGAATCAAGCCATGACCGGCCTTCAAGGTTTTTAATGGCCTGTTATTGTTGAATAGGCCTGTCAAAAGCTGGATAGAACGAAGAACATCGTTCTCAGTCTGCATACTGTCAACATCGTGCGTTAACGAGAAAACGAATGCGGGTAGAACGCTGACGTCGGATCGAGCAAAAATACCTGACGTTGTCTTGACAGCCGCCTGATTTAGCACCGACAATCATGCCGAGTCGCGATACTGTACAACTGTCCGCAGGATGTACGAACGAAGCGCCGTCGACGCTGCTGCAAGAAATGTAGGGTTATCTGGCAACATCTCCGGCTAAGAGCATCAACTAATCGACGAATGCCAAACTATAACCTTGCACATTTCATGGAGTGTGAAGCCCTGGGTTCATGGCTACCACAACGTGCAACGGGCGTGCAGAACTGGTCCAGCTTTGTGGTGGAAGCGGCAGCGCTCGTACTTTACACATGCACCCAGACAAAAGTGTCAACTGTCAACTTGTATTGAGCAAACGCGTCGCAATACTGGCTACAAAAGATTGCACGTATGATGAGGATCTTCGTCTTCAACTGTAGGCCGAACTACTCTGGACCGCGGCTATCTACTGCCATGGCGCTGATGTACGAGCGCGTTGACCTCGTTGTTGAATATCAGACTGCCTGCGCTGCATGTATCATCATGATGCGACACAAGCTCGATGTCACTAGCACCGTCTGGGATATTATTGAAAGCTTGGTCTCTTGGAAACCAGTCGTCGACTATCATACATATCTGTCTTCTGTTTCTACCGTCGCAGATGCAGTACAAGCTTGGTCTTCTCTCCAGCACCCACTCAACGACTATTTCACTGTTTGGGAAACGCGGAGCACCTAAGGCGGTCCACGATTCGTGCGTGCGGCATGGACCAGATTTTCTCATCCCGTTCATGATCGATTGCAAGTAGTCTGGTAGAAGCGTACCGTCGGACTTGTACTCAAGCACTCACAGTATCACTGAACACATCCTGTCGATCGTGGTACGACAAGTGTGCTTGTGTACTTGGCATATACAAAGTGGTATCGTGTGCATGCCATCGACAGCTTCGACACTAGACTAAGCTTTTGACACGAAACATCTCTCTCTTGGTGCACATCGAATGGTTTGTATTTGTACAGCGAAGTATACGAAAGTCTGCACTCCGATTTCGTGACTAAAGGAGTGTCGTGGTGTCGCGTAGACGTTCACAAGTTCATGTGTGCTACTGGTTTGGCCAATTACACGTCATTGACATCAAAACTGGATCAATGGGATTGCTCGATTGTCAGTATTCTACACTATTTACCTTGCTAAGTATATAATGAGGGAGTTTTTCTCTTCGAAGGTGACATTCGGCACTGCTCCACGCATTGGTTGATATAGACCATTTATGAACCAACAAAATCACCAGTACCTGCTAGACGAGCACAGTAAGTGGAGGGCGAGTTGCCAAATTACGCATTCGTAGGTCACCATAGTCAAAGTGAGATCAGAAAGATCGTATCACAAAGCTATGAGTACAGATTCAATACAGTTCTATTTCTCCTTCTACTTATCGCGTTCGTTTGGTGCACATACCTTCCCCTGCAAGCACATTGTGCCTGGAGTTTCGAGCACATACCTACCTTGTCCTATTTCATTACAAAGTAGAGGGTGCCCTTGTATACCTGATTGCCATTTCTGCCCCGTCCAACGACCATGGACATTCCATCGAGCATATACGTGTTGAGTGAGGAAGAGTGTAACTTTCAAGTCACGCGCGAAGGCTTCGCTTATCTTAGTGACATCGAGGGAGCTGTGATCAGGGGTATCGATATTCGATCGTAGATCCGGGCCTGTAACAAGCGCCATGCTACACGCTCTGAAAAGATACGAGCAACATTTAGAAACATGTAAGTTGATCTAGCAGAAACTCGACGAGAGCGCAGGACAAAGTAACCTTTCTCCACCATCAAGGTTCCCATCAGTGAGAGCGCAGGACAAAGTAACCTTTCTCCACCATCAAGGTTCCCATCAGTGAGAGCACTTTATAGAAAACATTACTCACCAATTCGAGCTTTTTGATGTCGCACAAAGCATAAGCTGCTGCTTCCGAGCCGATGAACGCACGTCGACCCGAGATCTTAGAGCTAAACACCTCCAAACACATCGAAGTCGAGAAAGGCCCCCTGCTAAGATGGTTTCATTGCGTTGTATAACGACATAGGAGCATCTTGCATCGTCGATGAGAAAAAAGTCGCATATGTCTAGCCTAACTGGATTGGACGTGTCCATATTTAGGCCTAAAGGCACAAGCTACACGACCGATACGCGTTTAGGTCGTCAGGATCCTCAATAACCAGCCCATACAAAATTTTGAGCCGCCAAAGGCTGAGTCGAGGGCTCGATCAGAAATCGTACATCTCGACCAGGGTAATTGTGACGTGCACGCATTCTCTCAACACAAATGTCACATTTCAATTTGCATCACTGCAAACTCAATTCATGACACACATTGATTACGGTGTTTATGCAGGGTCTCGTAGATGGTCCCGCCTGGACCCATCTGCTCCGCCTGGAAATGAATGCGCTAGAGCAAGTATAATAATGGCGAAGTAGGATGTTTTGCTTAAGACAGGATCACGACAACCCGGATTCCTATCGTCCTCTGAGACGACAAAGAAATGGAAGTTGAGAACTGATGGACCTCTGCTGCGTGAAAAGCAAAAGAAAGTGCTAAAAACGACAATTCATTGTTGAAATAGAATTGACAATTATTGCAAATATATGACACTAGCACACACGTAATGATCCGAATCCATTGGCACGCACAACAGTACGTAACGATCATGAGTCAGCCTGAAAAGACCTGAGACGCAGCTACGGTGCTGTTACAAATTTTCAATAGTGCAACGGATCGCCAACAAACAGTATGATGAGAAGGGTCTAAACGCCTTGCTGGTCCAGCAGCTTAAAGATACTTTTAGGCCTACTGACAAAAGCCGCTCCCAGTACACGTCCTCGGTGCGTCACCTTCACTGGTGATGGGCAAAATCTCATCACAAGATAGATCGAGGTGACATAACACATGTCACTTCACTCTCTAGCCTATTTCGGGGCGTCGACTAACTTTGTTCGAATTCCATACCTCCATGATCGCAGGCTCCAGTTTGATGTAAGTAAGATCTAGTCAACGAGATGCGGGTTTTCGTGCAACAAGTGCATCAGTCGTAGTGTAAATGTGCATGTAAAATCACGACACGTAGAAGAGGAATAGTTCAAAAATTAATTTATCGATCTGGACTTGGATGACAAATTTGACATTATCCTGATCTACCATGTCATAGAGCACACGGGCCATCAAACCGCTAGTAACACCGCTTTGATAGAAATTCACCAAATGTTCAGCTAATGACTTTCTGGTGGCCGTCTTCTCTTGCTTCCAAGCGTCGAATGGACCAATTAAGTGCTATGGCCAAACGTGTGGTTCGGTCGCACGACTGCACAAGACCTCAATGTTATTGCTCACGACACAAGATTAAAATCGCACAGCGGCTGTGTCAGAACACAGCCACACAAAGAAACACTATTACAAACATGAAATAGAATACGTTCGATACATAAACATGAATGACTTTGTTATACTATCACAGGCAAAAGTGCCTAGACATAGAAGGACCACTACCGCGGGCAGCAGTTATTACTGCTGCCCTTGCACACCGGCCAAATTATTCTTCTGTATCGAGAAGGCAACGCATACACGATTGGTCTGTCACAAATGACGGGCGCGCATTCTACCAATAAGTAGGACGTCTCCTCCCGTACGTTCAGCACAAACCCTCTCTCGACAGTGACGAACACAACCACGATCCCTAATGTTTACGAGATTTTCATGGGATCACGTATCAGTCTCTCAATCTAGTCGTGCAATGAAGAGACCTGCATACGCAGATGTGAGATCTCCTGCTTTACCACCGCCGTATTGTCGCCAGAGATTGGACAGTTCTTTTAGCAATAAATATGAAACCATAAGCCTGCAAAGTCTTTTCGCGATCAAGATGATGCCTCTGCCCATTGTTGGCCAGAATGACTAATAGCTCATGTTCAAGATCGTCGCTAGACAAAGAATAAGACCAATTGACTCTTTAAGATTAATATAGTCCGATTTTTGATCCGGTCTTCTTGCATCGCCACATTGGTTGGTGAACTCGCGCGGTGGTCAGCGCTTTCTTGTTGATTGCGTTTTGAATTGTCGCAATATAAAGGGATTTAGAACGAGTTACCTCGCCCGGTGGCGCGAGTATCCACCTTTGTGGTATGGACGGAACACTTCATATTAACTACTAAGCCAC